CCTATACTAGTGTGCCCATAAGTCCTGCTTTTCAGCTGCCTAGAAGCGTACAGCCTAGCAGCGGTAGAGAATTCACTGTTTTTAGCTACCATCCATGGACATATTTACATGCGTGTAGATATACAAGTACAAAGAATGATCTCTTGATGCACTGCTAGTTTCAATGTGAAATGATTTCAAGAAAAAAATGAAATATATCTATATATAAGTATATATAACGTCAAGTAAAAAGTTCGTTCGGTTTTTATCTAAGAGATGGCGTTATTGTACATAGTACTAGTGAAACGTGTTTATTCGCGCTAAGAGCTTGTCTTTGACAGTTTTTCGACTGATTGACTTAGTACGTGAGCGTTGGTCAAAGATGGACACCAGCAAAGAGAAAATTCGCTATATTTTACAATTTTTCTTCGATGAGGGCGAAAAAGCAGCCAAAGCGGCTGAAAAGTTAGTTTAGTTTATGGGCCCGATACTGTAAACGAACGTGTAGCACAAAATTGGTTTGCTAGGCTCCGTTCCGGTAATTTCGCAAATTTACTCAAAGTTATTATATGTTGAAAAATCAATAAAAAAAAACAGAACGAACTTCTTACTTGACCTATATATTTCAATATAGAAACGTTTGAGATTTAAATAAATTCTTATGAAACTGCAACGATTTTCTTGGTTCAAAATCATCTTAAGAAACTCGTTTTCTGCAAGCACTCACAGATATACATAATAAGTATGTATGTATTTCTTATTATTATTTTTATCGAAATTCTTTATATAGAACACTAAGAGACATATCTTGTGTACTTACATACATGTTCTGTTAGTAAACTTTTCTTGATTCGTAGCGAGGATTTTAAAATAAAACACTTTTCGATATTTTATTTAACCTTTTTTTATTTAATAATTTTGCCAATTGTCATTCCTACTATAATTTCTTTGAAATAAATATCGATTTTTTTTTAAATCTCTTGCCATATTCATCCATCTTTACAATTACCAAAGTTCTAACTATGCCATGCACAACCTCTTCCAGCAATCTCTCTTTCAGAGAGTTTCTTTAAATGTTTCTATATGCATTTCGTGCCTTTGATTAGAAATCTTATATTAGAAAAAAATTGGTCATCACCATAATTTGTGTAATAGTTTAATTCAAGAAACAATTCCCAATCACATACATACATATTACCACATTACGTATTAACATACGAGAGTTTGTATATTTCAAACAAGTTCTTGTACAATTTCATCCAATGCAATTGCAACGCAAAGTCAGCCATTATTTGCAATTATTTTATTTTTTACATTTTCTCTGCGCGGCTTATGGATGCATCTAGAAATACTCGTATGTACGTACATACTTACATATATACATGTGTATTTGAGCATATGGTATAACGAATTATTGGTTGTTGTGCATATTAGGGTGATAATTTTTCCAACACTGCTGTTTTTCCGTTAACTAATTTTCATTGAAAATAATTTATTTTAATATTACTTTAAAACTAAATTCTTGCAAAATTTTTAATCAAAATCACAATTTTTTTTATATTCAAAAAAAAAATTTATATTAATAACTAAAAGATTACCACCCTAATCAACAAATGCCAAATAACCTTAATGCAGCAAATTCTTAAATTCTTATAATCAATCAAATCATTCCAATTCAAAGCAATCTTCCAAAAACATCGTTAAACCTCCCCCATTATCATTATGCATTTTATGTCTCAATTTAGCACACTTTCATTTTGTAAATTCCAATCAATTCCTACTGAGGAACTTGAAATAATATTTTTTCTGCAATCACAATATTGAATTTCCAAAAAATTAAATAATAAATTTCGTATTAAATTACTATTTAACAATAACCAGTTTTGCTGATTTTTTTCTGTACACATTTTTAATAAATATCTCTTACTATTGTTATTGCTGGTTCCTTTTGATTTGTTTTTTTTTTTTATCTTTCTCTAATATTTTTCTGTTTCTGTGCTCATATATGAATACATGTGTATGAAGTATCTAATGTTTTCGACATAATACCTGTGTTTTTGTTGGTATATTCTGCACAATTTACAACGTATTTTCGAATTGTCGGGACACCTGCTACTGAAAGCAGGGAATTTAAAAATACAGCATTGCGTTTTTATTTACAACTTTTTCTTTAAATATTTTTTATTTTTTTATTTAATGGATTTTTGGTCGTTCGTATTGTCTTTATTGCATTCGTTTTATCAAATGATATTGGCAAATAAGTATAAATGTGTTGTTGTTTTTTTGTAAGAAGCGCACAGCGTTTTCTAATTCCAAATAAATTTTATTTAGTTAAGTAGAGCAAATTTTAATTGAATACAACGAAGTTCAACTAGGGTTAAATGTATGCACGTAAATTCAGAACATTTATATATAAATACGAGATTTTTTTCAAACAATGTAAATAATTATTGGAAAAATTGTCAAAAAAGTTTGCACGGTCTTTTCGATTTTTCATTTATTTAAATATTATGTTAATATCACCTTTGTACAATTTTGTTTAAAATAGCCTTGTTATTAATATTATTTAATCTATTCCATTTCATTTTGTTTTATTTTATTTTGTTTTGTTATTTAATATTATTTTTATTTTTTTTATTTTGTTATTTAATATCATTTTTATTTATTTAATTCTATGTTATTTAATTTTATTATGTTTTTTTTAATTTGATTAATTTATTTTTTTTTTATTTTTCTTTTTATTCATTAAATTTTAACTTTATTTAATTTAATTTAATCATATTTTATTTCATTTCAAATTTCTTTATTTTATTTCATTTTATATTACTTTTTTATTTTGGTTTTAATTTTTTCGTTACATTTAAATTAATTTTATTTAATTTAATTTCATTTCATTTTATTTTCCCTTTTTTAGTTTTTCATTCTATTCGATTTATTATTATTTTATTTAATTTAATTTTATTTCATTTAACTTGATTAAATTTTTTTTATCTAGTATTTTATTTTATTTATTTAAGTTTTATATTTTTTTCATTAAATTTTTTATTTTTTTCTAATTTTTTTAATTAATAATTATTTTTATTTTAATATATTTTATTTCAATTTTCTTTATTTTATTTCATTTTATTTAATTTGATTTTATTTAACTTAACTTTAGTTTATTTCATTTTATATAATGTGTTTAATTAAATCTTAGTTTATTTCATTTCATTTAATTTGATTTAATTAAATAAATTAATTTTTTATTATTGTAATTAATTTAATTTGATTTAATTTTATATAATTTAATTGCATTTAATTTTGTTTTGAGTTATTTAATTTAATTTTATTTATTATTTTATATATATTAATTTTTATTAATTTGTTTTAATTTTTTATTTAATATTTTTTTTAAATTTATTAATTTTTTAATTTATCTCACTTTTTTGTTTTGTTTTATTTTATTTTATTTTATTTTATTTTAATTTATTTTACTTTATTTCATATCATTTTTCTTTATTTTAGTTGTTTTATTGAATTTAATTTAATCATATTTTATTTTAGTTAGTTTTATTTTATTCTTTTCTTAATTTTATTTTATTTGGTCTTGTTTCATTCTTTTTTATTTATACCATTTAAATTTGAAATTATGTTTTATACTATTCTGTTTCTATTTATTCTTGTACCATATTTAAGTCCATTATCTTTATTGCGTTTAAAGTTGAAATTTTTGCTCCATATTCCACTGGTAAATTCAAACTCATTGAATATTTATAAATTTAATTAATTAATTGCTGCTCAATTCACTCGGTATAACGTGAAATTTCTATTGAAGCTCATTCGAACAATTTCAATACCTAAAATTGGCTAATGCCTATTCAAGTTTGAAAGTAAAGAATGCCGTAAAACCAAAATGACAACATCAGCACACACCTCTTTCTGATTAAAGTGAACCAAAAAAATAAGAAACGAGAAATCTTTTAAATTATTTTTATAAACATGCATTTTAATGCCAATTTATTTATGCAGGTATATAATTTTAAGTATTTATATATATTTATAAATTTAAAACTATTCATAACATTGTATAGCAATTTGTTGCATTCCAGAGTTTCAACTAATTTTTTTATTTGAATTTATTTATATGTAAGAATTTTTCTTATATGTGTAAACATTTATATTATGTATGTATATGTATAAGTGTATATAAATTAAACAAAAGAATATCTTGGATTGCTATTATATGTAGTTAAATAAAATAAAAATAATTTCCCAATTAAAAATAATAGTTTTCATAATCATAACATTTTGCCTAAAATAAATTTCGTCATAATTATCTTTTAAATATTTGATAAAAATCACAACAAAAATTGGGGGGGAATTGACTTTATAAAAAGTGATATAATTATATAATATATAGTAACTAACAAACTAACACTAAGTAATATTATGGATGCGCATTTACAATTGTATGAATGTATGAGTGAACATTGTTTTTTCTTTTTGTCTGATGAATGAAACTAAAAGGAGGTCGCACAGTAACGAGTTGATTGATTTTCTGTGTTTGTTGTTCATCTGAATTCTTTGTCTACTTGTATGTATTTTTAGCTCTTAGTTTTTGCTACAAAGTAAAACGGCATTAACTAAACATTTTTTGTTTATTTTATTTTACTGTCTTTGCTTTGCACATTTTTAAAAATTTGTATAAGTCATTTTTCGTTTTTATTCTTATTTTTATTTTATTTTATTTTATTTTATTTTATTTTTTTGTTAGACTGGTACATACTCGTGCAATACATACTATTTTTTCTTAAAGCTGTTCAATGCAGTTGTCTTTTGCTGCTAGGTATTTTTATAATCAAATAAATGGTCTAATAAAATTACTAAGGCAACACAAAACTAAATAAAAAAAAAATACGTTTTTGTGCCAAATTTTACAAAGTTTTCAAATTCGTATTTGTTTTCGTTTTCTACTTGTAGTTAGGAATTATAAAAACGAATATTTTAACCGACAAAATTAGCGCAGTTTCTATATTATATAATCACCATATTTTTAAATTTGTATCACTAAAAAATCAACAAATATACAAAGCTAGTGACAACTGTTCATCTTGATACTGTTGTTGTTGGCGCAGTTACAGCTGCTACTTCTAGAAATATGTACAACGGCAATACTTGTCACATCACACACTGCACGCTCACAGGAGGGCTGCCTGCGGCCTTCCACACCTCTCACACGTTGCACTGCACAGCTAGATACCTAGATACTTTACAGCACACATTTCTCTCTCGTTCGCCATCCTTTTATCCTGTTTTAATTAGTATATACTATCACTTTGTTGCTTTCACTACTGAGTTTGCGCGTAAAACGTCATGTCATGTGATTGCTGTTGCATCGTAGTTTTCTTGTATATCTATTGTTTTTTTGTTTTTTGTTTTTTTTCTTGTTGTTGTTTTTATTTTTATACCACTACTTCTACTATTTAAATTGTGTGACTTTCTGTTGTCACATTAACGTTGCTTCTATTGTTGTATTGGCGTTGTGTCAGCGTTAGCCTAATTCAAGTACAAGATGTATCTATACATATGTATGTTGTGTTGTTTTTTGGGAGGAGGGAAAACTGGTAGCTTACGCTTGCTTCCATCTCTAGTTGCCTTATTCACATACTACTTTGGATTCTACACGCCTCATAGCATGGCTTTACTTTGTTTTTATATTGTCCTCCCGACACGCTACCGCCGCCACAAGTGCGGCACCACGTCCTGAACCATCTTCAGACAACATCAGATCAAAGCTAATGTCTGGCTTTATCAGTTCTGTGATTTTCTCCACCATCAGCGAGTGGAATTTCGGATGGAAACGATATACGCTGCCGTCAACGCCTACTGTCAAATGTTTTTCATCCATTTTATTGATGAGTGTAGCAATACCGCAGGATACCAAATGCGCAGCACGCTTGGATACACATTCGCAGACGTAACGGACATTGGCGCAATCCTCATCGGTGGCGTCGTTCAAGCCCAATTCATCCAACACCATGCGGCAGTTAGTGAAGTTGCCGGGTTCGTCGGCCTCGATTTCTGATACATATTTCGTGAAGAATTGACCGCGTGTCATTAACACATCTGAATCTTGACCCTTGAAAAGTATGCCTGCTTTGACCAATTTAACAATCACCAAACGTACCAGTTCACCCATATACATGCCAGATATCATTTTCTCGAATAGCTGTCTGCCCGGATTGATGGAGTGTCTGTCGATTTCATCATCGAATTCGGTGCGTAGGAAGTTCAACATACCATTATTGCCCAAAGCGCCCCATTCAGTGTTGATGAGCATATGAGATTTGCCATTATCTGCGCCTTCGAAAAGCTCACACTCTTCGACTCGCTCCACATAGCAAGCATTGGAACCAGTGCCCACAATCAAGCCAATTTTACAATTGTGATTCTTCCAGGCGCATGACATCAGTGTACCTGTAGTATCGTTTAGGATAGCGCAAATTTCAATTTGTACATCACCTCGTCTCGCAATGGCGTCCTTCAATAGTTGCACAACATCTTCACCCACAACACCAGAGCAATTGAAACCCTTCGTCCAAGTAGATAAAACACCTCTGGTTAGTCCAAGCTGTTGTAGAGGGAAAGAGAAGGTGAAACCCAATGGCAGGCGCTCCTTATAGACATTGTGCTCGGACATGAAGCTGGCCAAACATTCAGCAATATGATCAAATAATTGCTGACCTGTGCCGATCATGATGTGTTGTGGTATGGCGTAAATGCGCGATTCCATTTGGAAATCGTGCTCCTCCTTCAAATGGATTAGCAGCACACGGAAGTTGGTACCTCCAAGGTCGAGTGCTAGGAATTTGCCACGTTCATTGCCATTGGGTAAATCTTGTACATACGTTGTAAAACACTTGACATCGGCTTTGGCGTGTGTATCCTTATTAAGGCCGCGTTTGATCTCATGCAGGATACGATAATTTAATTCCCTGATCTGTTCGTCCGTTAATATTAATTGCTGACATAACTCGTGAACCATTTTGCGTTTTTCCGCGATACTAGCGTTAGCGTGTGGTGGCAAAGGTGTTTGTGGCTGAGCTTGCTGTTGCTGCTGCTGAAGTTGCTGTAGCTGCTGCGCAGATGTCGATTTGTACGAAAAACTGGATGTAACATTGGCTACGCCGCCAACTTCGCTGTTACCGAACGTGCCGACGCGTACGTTATCTGTTTCGTCCGCTGACTGAGTACTACCGCCGCACTTGCATGCCACGCAATGGCCGTTGTTTTGACTGTTGCTCAGGTTGCTGCTGCAATCGTCAAATTGTTGTTGTTGGCTGTGGCACGAAAGCTTACCGCTGACGATGCACTCGGTGCCGCGACAGCAGCCATTGACAATTGCGCTGCCGCTGCTGCTATTAATAGACATGCTCTGCATTGCACCATTCAAATCTTTCTCCATCTCTGTCGATTTGTTAGCTTTTGCACTACTAGATAGCTCGTGTTAGTTTTATTTTTTATTCTTCTGTTCACAATTTGTTCGCTTCCGCGATTAGTTCAATGCAAATTATATGTATGTACGTATGTATGCTTTTTCGCAAATCTGTTTTTAGTTCCTCTCAAAGCTTTTTGTGACTTTGAAATAGTTTTTGCTTAGGTTTTTGTTATTTTTTTTTGCAAAGACCTGCGCGCTACCGTGGGGTGTGTACGTAGGATATTGAATCTTTTACACGCTAGTGGACTTTTTTCAACAATATGCGATATAGTTTCTCTTGGCTCTTCCTTTTCTGCAAAAAGTGCAACTTTAAAAGCTTTCAACTTTCTATTTACTGCTTATATTCTTGCACTTATTCTGCTTTTGCTCTCTTGCAATTTTTCGCCTGTAAAATTGTTGTTGGATATGCAATATTCACTTATTTTTCGTAAATCTCTTGCTATGTCTATGTTTTGTTGGCTTTTGCTCAAAATGCAGTCTGCAATCTGCACCCACGAACGCAAAAACAAATGAAACACAACCAAAAAATGCACGAATCACAGAATTTCAACGTTTACCGTCTCTATGCTAAATGCACTTGTTCGTAGTTGAACACTAATGCTTAATTATCACCGTTAGTGATGTGATTTTATAAAGTATCTCTGAACTGAATATTAAATTTGCTGGTTTTGTAGATTTTTTATTTCCTTTGACTTTTGGTTTGTACGATTTTGTCTGTTAAACTTTTTCAATTTCCCGCTCGACCAACCGTCGTCTTTAAGCGTTCGCCTCGGAATCAAATCAGTCTGTTGGTTGAATAACCGTTTCAGTTTCGTTTTCACAGCTCACAGCTCACAGCTCGTTGCGGCGGCTCCGTTGTTGAGTTTGAAGGAACCTTGAAGGTCAAAATTGACAATTAATAAGTTGTATGTACAGAGCGAGTATAAATCGTATAGAAAAGTATATATGATGAGAGTACAAAAATATTTATTTTTATGTGTGCGTATATACATATAAATGTATTTTAGAATGTATCTTATACTATGGAAGAGAGCAGTAAGTATGGAAAACAATTTACAAGTAAATGTGAGCTCTGTACGCTCGCATAATATNATGTACATAAAATATATCTTTTACCCCTCTAGAAAGCTCTATAAAAAGTTGAGCGTACGCGATATTGCACTCGTAAGCACAGAAAATGAATGAATGTACTATGTTGTTGAGTTTGAAGGAACCTTGAAGGTCAAAATTGACAATTAATAAGTTGTATGTACAGAGCGAGTTTAAATCGTATAGAAAGGTATATATGATGAGAGTACAAAAATATTTATTTTTATGTGTGCGTATATACATATAAATGTATTTTAGAATGTATCTTATACTATGGAAGAGAGCAGTAAGTATGGAAAACAATTTACAAGTAAATGTGAGCTCTGTACGCTCGCATAATATGTATGTATGTATATCTCAATAACAAAAAACCGAATGCCAATAAAAAATTTTTCATATAGTTAACTAACTACACGCATACATACATATGTATGTAGCTGGAGAAACAAAACTCATGCGGTGAGTGCCGAGAGCAATCGAGTACGCATGAGTCAGCATTCTTCCAAATAAAAAGTGGGCAAATATACACGACTGGCTACCTTCCAACACGAAAACCACACCAAACTGTTCACTTATGTACTATTCGCCCGCCTATTTGCCAACACTACGAGTTATAGCGCCAAGCTTATCGTACTTGTTTTTTTATTTAGTGTATTCGTCAACGCGGATAATCGTACTTCGTTTATGTAAAATATATTATATTATACATATATTCAAACCCATATGTATGTAAACACACACATATATATTTATGTACATGGAGTATAGTATTTACCTTAAACATATGAGAATACACGTGCCAGTATTCCTACACACATATGTACATATGTGTTGGGTGTGTGTAACTACATATGCACAAATGCATATATTTATATACATTTGTATATAGGTACATACACGTACACGATTTCAGTTTGGAGGCACGTTTGTCGCGCTCTCGAATGTTATCTTTCAGTTACGCTCTGCTTTTGTTAATTCTTTCCTTCACTGCTTGACATCAGTTTTTAGCCATTTTTTTGTATGTATGTACATATAGCTTTCGTACAGTTGACGGCTAGTATACCAGTTAGTTTAACTTTTTTTCTTTATTTTTGTTACTTGGAATGTTGACTTGCCCTCCTTTAACCATAAACTAATTCTCTTCCACTCTCTCAACGTCTGCACACTTTTGTGGGCCCGGTTCTGACTAATTCGTTACACTCCCAATTTGGTTCTAACACCTCACGTGTTCTATAATATTATATTTAAATGCCTAAACAAACAGATTCCGGCGTTAAAGTCTGTCGTCAAGCCATAACTGAGATGACTGGCTGATTAAGGTGACTCGATTATTTCAAATAAGTGGATAATAAAAAATTCTAATTAAACATTTATGGATAAGCCGTTTACATATGTGTATGTATGTATATTTCTGTATGTATGTATGTGCATATACCCCATTATGTTGATCGTCGTTTGGATATTAATGTTTTCTTTCAGCACGCAGGAGTTGCAAAGGAATTAATTATGGGAAGAAGAAGAGAACTCTGCATTTCTTACTTAATCACGCGTATTTCTCAGCGCAATAATTTGCAGGCGCTTTTGAGCAATAAGTGAATTATCGAGATATTCATTTTTTGCAATGATGATGTTTGTCATTTCCAAATATTTTTAGTTTCCATGATGTTTTCAAATCGTTTAATGGAAGTTAATTTTAAACATGGAAATCGAGGCGACATCACAATGATAAATTTCACGTTAATCGATATATTTCCATGGTTTCGGTCGAAACATTAGGAAATTTTAACGTTAAATGCGTTATGAAAATAAATTTCTTTTATTTTCTACCCCAATTGGAAAGCTGTCGTTAATGTTAAATCAAAATAAAATTAAAAAAAATATAAATAAAATTGAAGTGTGACAATTTTAAAATGAACGTTATCGATTTCAATGCTAACATTTTCATATTGTTGAGTTAATTTTTCTTGTTAGCGAAACGGAATGATATCGTTGCGTTTGTTGAGTAGCTCTAATGGAAAAAAACAATTTCTAGATTCAAAACTTACTATGAAATCGTATCTTGAATATGAATTCAATCATTTGATTTTTATACTGTATGATATACTGTGCATGAGGAGTGCAGTTCAGGTAACTACATATGTGACACATGCATGTGCATAGTCAACGACAAAAGGGGATTTTTAGTCAAAACATGGTCGCGTGTTTATTTGTTGCAATGTAAAGATGAAGCAAAAGAAAATTTGTAGTTCAAAGAAAAAAATCCCCTAGATTATGTTTTATTTTTGTTTTCATTGTATATACAAGTATTTACACTTCGCAGAAATGGGGCTCGTCTTGAGTTCATTTGTGTTTCTACCTACGTATTCATGTACGATAACTGTAATGAATGCGTTTGGAGGCGGTACAAATACGGTTATGTTTGTTTATTGAATTTCTAAAATACTTTTATGTCAATTTCGACGACTGCCATTCGGAAGGCCCGGGTTGAAATCTTGGTATAACCAACATTCAAAATGGGTATGGTCTACCGCCACACAAAAGACCATTATTATAAGTTGGCTCGGCAAATTAATCTTAATCCGAAACGTAAATCGACCAAAACTATGTATGCCACGGAGCGCATTTGCTGAGAAGTAAGCTGATAATCTATGGGATAATTTAATACCGATAGTTGAATGTTTGTGGTCTGGAGCTAGAAATGCCTATTTTTCGCATTGTAAATTATGTGTACATATGTACAAAGTAATACATGTAAATAAGTCGAAAAGCTTTCTATTTTATTCGATCTTCACCGATAACAAATCGACACATATATTTTATCACAAGGTGATTCACTGCAGAGCGCAATCGATGTATACGTCATAATACACGGTAGATAAATAGAAAATGTCATTAAAATGTTATATTTATTATCCAAATAAGGAATTGAATTTTGAAATTCTGAATCAGCTCATTCATTGACTGTTGGGCGGAAAGAAGTTCGCCGGTCAGTTCCGTATGTATGAAAGTATGCACTTGCTCACATACATAACTTATTGCTTACAAAAACATTTTATTTGCTATACAAATTTATCGTACGTGCCATAGCTCAGCAACAAATTATTTTAAAAATATATACATATATATGCATATAAACAGGTACTTGTACAGGTAAAACGGCACTGAATGCCAATCAATGTTCGAATTGTGTCAGTGCCGTAAACAAACGAAAAGTAAAATATAAACAAAATTCCAAAAAATGAGACATTCAAGTGTCATTAAACATCTGTAAATGCCACCAAAAAGCGAGTGCACAGACCTCGAGAGATGAGGCGCTCGTGAACTTGTGCATTCAACTTATACATAAATTCCGCTTACATACATTTGTACATATGTATGTACTCGTATTTAGCACATATCTCTATAATTATGAAATGATGATTCAAAATTTAAAAGAAGAAGAAGAGTAGATTCAAAATATGTGTGTATTATTGTATTTTGTTTTCATATAAATTTATTGTTTTCGCCACATACTTATTTGTATGTATGTATATATTTACATATGTACATAAAATATATCTTTTACCCCTCTAGAAAGCTCTATAAAAAGTTGAGCGTACGCGATATTGCACTCGTAAGCACAGAAAATGAATGAATGTACTATGCAACACAGAACTATGCTTGTGTTCGTATATAAATACACATATGTATGTATGTATATAATATATGTTATGAATAGGTTTAAAGATAAAAAAAAAATGACTTCCTTAAATATGCTCATGATGCTATGTTAGTTCTTATTTGTAAGTACTGTATGTCTATATGTTTACCTTGGCTAGGCTGAAGTACAAACGGCGCGAAACAAACTACCGATTTCGCAAAAAAAAAATTAAAATCCGATAAATTTGACACTGAATTAAATTTTTTTTCCAATTTTTTCTCACTTAAACACGCTAAACGTAGTCATGCGCTCAAAATTATATATTTTACTTAATTTGGCAATATTTTGGAAACTACGGACGTTTAAATTGGACCGAAGATTTCGTTGCAAATTTTATTATTTACACGTTATTTTATAAAAGTTATATTGTCTTTCTTAGTGTGTATTTTTTATTATTAGATATGTATGTATAAATGTATATATTTTTTCCCCATATTGGCCTCTGGCAAATCAATTAACCAACATGTTCACTGTTCAACGGTATTATACACATTTGTTTGTCGGTAGACAACTAATGCGCGCAGTAAAATGTATTTATTTTATTTAAAATTTGCTTATACTTATGTGCTTGTAGTCCCTACAAAGCATATGTACATACATATGTATGTATGGCAAATGTGAATATGTATTTATGTAGATTTGAATTTTAAAAATAGTTCGAGCGCAGACGACTTAAACAGCATAAAATATTGTTCGCAACTGTTTTCTGTTATACATACGATTTGCGTAAAACGTGCTATCGCAACGCATATTCGCTCACAGAAGCTCTTATCCAACGACGAGCATCTAGTTAGGTGTCCGATCAAATGGAATTTATAATACACGTACTCGCTCGTATGTATGTATGCCGGGCTGCATACGTAAATTGGTAGGCGATAGCGGCGATTCATGATGTGGGCATGTGTTGGTAAATGACAGGTTTGCGTTATTTGTATGCGCATAAGTGTGATTTACATACGTGCCTTGAAAAAAGTATCTGAATGTTTATAAATACATACATACCTACATACATATTTGTAGGTGGTTGAGAGTTTTCTGTGGGCACATACAAATGTATGTGTGGGAATTTTGTGGGCGTCATAATTTTAAACCCACTACAAACACATTTATATTGCTGAAGGCTCATATTTGTGTATAAACTGTTTCCCTTATAACTAGTTTGTTACTACATGAAATTGTAGTGCATACATACAACTTTTATTAGGTTTTTCTTTAATTTGTCGATGAGTTATGATTTTAATAAAATAAAATTGCATACGAATATATTTACATGCATACTTATGCAAGTGTATTTGTACAATACACAACATACATGTCAGATATATGCGATATATATATATGTATGTATGTACATATAAACAACAATCGTTGATGTTACTTTGATAACAAAAAAATATACCTACATATGTATGAACATTCATACATACATATTGAGTTTTGTGGTTATGCCTTATTTCACAATTTATAGGGTAAAAGAAACACTTATTGTGCATAAATATTGGTTAAAAGTAATTTGTACTAATCATTGTACTTGCAATTCTTTGACAGAGTTTTTTTTATTAATTTTTTTTATTTTGATTACTGTTATTTCATTATCAAAGATAAGTATATGAATCATCTTTAGAAGGACAAGTTAAAAAAATTAAATATTAAACGAATATGCATGTATGTACATATGTATGTGTGTTTGTATAATATGGTTGTCATAGCCTCATATAATCCCCACACCAACATACATACATACATACATATATATCCATATATATATATATATATATATATATATATATATATATATATATATATATATATATACTATTTGAAAACATTGGCAGTGTTGACTCCGAAAAACAGCTGGATTTGCTGGCATATCCTACTCAGGCGCGACCGTATACACATACATATATGTTTAACTGTAATTTTTAGACTTTGGTCCGCCTTGAACTCGAACCCTTGGCTAGGTGACAGCAAGAAATAGTGGATAGCCACTTGGATACAATGATTTTGGACAACACATAATTCATATACATATTTTATTAAATAATGTTGTGTTTCATTTTATAATTCGACGTTTTGTATGCATGGATGTGTGTGTGCACGTCGGGCGTCATTAAGTTCTCTTGACGTTTTTTTCTCCACATTCTTCATATCTTATCTCTAAATCAGTCAGTATTTTCAAAGAAATTGCATGTAATGTGCATGCCTTATACATACATACATATGAACATACATATCACTATGCTTGTGGAGTTATCAGCAACAAGCTGGCTTGATTGGAAGCGTGTTGAGGCGGAAATGGTACTCAAACTTTACGAGTTCTCTCATTGAATATTTTGACTTTACGGTAGATGCATAGAAGAAATACGCCTGATCTGTTGTGAAATTATGAAATATTTTAATATATTTTACTTTCTTCAAGTGGGATCTTTGTTTTAATGATAATTTCAAATGATAAGGATACGACATTCTTGCTTAAATGAAAAGTGAATGTTATTGGTCACGAACATATATCATTTAATAATATGTTAAGAGCACCATACCATTTAGTGATTTCCAGCTTGGGTCACTTTCTCTTCAAGACCACCCACATAATGACTACCAAAGATTTTTTTCTCTTTTCATTAATTTAATATAATATAATTTAATTTAATTTAATTTAATTTAATTTAATTTAATTTAATTTAATTTAATTTAATTTAATTTNATTTTATTTTATTTTATTTTATTTATTTAAATTTAATTTAATTTTATTTTTTTATTTAGTTTACATAACTTTACTTTAATTTATTTTTTTTTTGACTTTATTTTATTACATTTGATTTTAATTTCATTAATTTATATACATATATATTTCAGTTCAATAAAATTTTTTGCTTAATTTTTTTTATTTTATTTCAATTTTTTTCATTTCATTCATTTATATACTTATTTTAATTAAATTTAGTTTTTTGTTTTATTTTATTTGATGAGCTTTGTTACCAGCATGTAATACAATAGTACCTACACAACGATAACCACGCGTATAGACATCAAGTGGACACACCTTCCCTCAACACGCGCGAATGGCTTGGGTTGATTTAATTTCGGCTGTGTGACTAAAAACAGGATACTGGAGAGGAAATATTTTGGTATTGATGTTCAAATATACATAAATACATATATCTGGATCTATTTTTAGACTCATAAAAGTACCAAATATACGGAATGTATGTACATATGTATGTATATTTCCACCCACGCACTCTCTAACATAGACCTAGACCAAGCTTTTTATCTATCTAGTTGTTATACATGTAGATATGTTTATATACTTATATAAATTCCAGTGAGAGAGGCGTGCTTTTATAGCTTTTTTGCACCCTAACGTTGCTATTTGTACTTTATAACACTTTTGCATCACGTTTCTCTGGTTTGTTCCATATCAACTCTGTACACTCACGTTCTGCAACTGGAATAACATCAGTTTTATTGGGAATTACAACAGCCGATGTTGGTTTTTTCAACTACTCAACTGGATACCAATACAAATGCTTATGAAGCAACACATTTACTTATGTATTAATGTATTGTACATATATATATATTATTTGAATGTTACTCATGGAATTAATACATACAAAATATGAATAAAAAATGCATAATTCAGTTTTTAATGAGAAATATTTAGTTATACTACAATAATATATTCGCGATTGTATATGTTCACATACATATGTTGAATTTTTATGCCCACAAGTGGAAGATTGCAAACATTAACATTTATTCAACGATGAGAAAGTTCCCTTCACACCTCACCTTTGAAACAATGCAACCTTTGGAGCACTTTCGTGTTAGTGCCAATTTTTAAAGATCACGTATGTACATATGTATGTATGTATACGGTCATACTCCAACAGTTTTCGGTTCTCTTTGCTGTCTACCTGAACAAACTCACATACTACAGCGTGGCTGCAGCGGTGTCTGGTTTAGCTTATTTAACCCCTGGAACCCCTCAACCAATACTCCACTAACGAACGCAGCTGACTTTTGTATATTCGCATGTATTTGTTGCTGCCGCTGCTGTTGCTGATACAGCTGCGTTATTTATTGCTTTTGATTCAAACCAAACTTTTGCCGCTCTGTTACATCCACAATTCTGTAGTTGTTGCGTCTTGTTCTTTTTTTACACAATAGTTGAGTTGTTGAGTTGTTCTATGCCAATATACCTTGCTGTACTCTTCACCTGCCTGGTCTACATACACATATGTGTACAATACATAAATATGTACATGTGTATGTACGTATATGTACATTGTTTCTCTGTAAATCCAGTTAAGGGGGCTCGACTTGAAATACTGGAGGTTGGTCTGACGTCGCTTGTACGAGTATGCGCATTATGTGATTATACCGTGTAGGTATTCATTTATGTACATACGTGTATGTATGTATAGGTGCACATAAGTTTGTACGTGGAAAAATGTATGATTGTACAATATACATATATTATGTATGTATTTACATGTACATACATATTTATGTGGCAGCTGTATGTAAATATGTTTGTATGTTCATTCATTTGGCCGGGTTTTAAGTATACATACTGAATTTCATATACTTTTATTATACACATGGACTTAAGTATGTATATAATATTAAAAATAATTGATTTTTTGTTTTTGAGGTTAAACGTGCCCTCTTCAACGAACTTTGGTCTAAATGTATGTATGTATGCATGCAAGTATACCTCGAATTACTATATGCATACGTACATATCATATATTTATATTTTTTAATAAAATGTATACTGTACTACATATGTACGTTTGTATACACTTTACCGATTTACACATATTAATATCTGTCAAGGAGATTATAGCTACTTTGGGCACTTTTTGCATCTGAAATTGTCAGTGCTTTCGGAATTTTTCCTATATTTCTTATATACATGCATGCGTTTGTTTTATATATATTTATAATACACAGTATACATATTCATGCATACATATGTCACCACATATATATATGTGGATGTATGTATGTATGTACATATTGATAAATTAATTACTTATGTATATATTTGTATTTACGATTATTGTTTGGATCTATTTTATTTATTTCACTGTAATTTTGTTGCTGCTCTCGCTCGCCGTATCTAATGACGTCGACGCATCATTTGCGCGCCAACAGAAAGTGGGCTCGTTCGCAGTTACGGCACTTGCATTCGCGTACGTCTTC